TATTTGTTTTACTTGGATTATATTTTTGCTTCTGAATATAATCACCAGCAGTACTTTTCAGTCAAGAATTAAAAATGACATAAAACAACATAATTCATTATATACATTTAATATTGGAACAGAGAAAAAAAGTAAAAAAAACGTGATATGAACAAAAACAGCAATATCAAATTAACACTAACTTTTTCTAAGTGATACTAAAATAAAGTCTTCATGCTGAAAACCAAGGAACCAAAAGATTAAGAATATCAGGCATTTCAATCTCCTAATCTCCTCTACAGAGAAAAAAGTGTAATTTTTCAAACCAAATATTCTTATTATGTGGGGTACACTTGTTTTAAAAAGGGAAGCACATTTCATTGACAGTAAAACAAAAATGCTTTCAGAATCTCCCCAAACATAATGGGGCACAAGCTATGCTACCTATAATATTCAATTAAACTATCTTGGAGAAACTTACCTAATACCCCACTGGGTTCAATAGGATACTCAAGAATTGATGTAGCAGGTGCCAGTGTGTAGGGATATTCATAAGGTGTGTAAATTAAACCAGCTTCAGGTCCTGGGGGAACTATTGCAGCAGTTGGGTGAGGAGTTCCATTTGGCATGACAGCGGTCTGTATTTGTCTGATCAAAGGCATTATGGTAGGGCCAGCTGGCGTAGGGGTACGCAGGGCAGCTGGTGGGAGAACAGGGGCAGGCCCTGTGATAATCCTTGGAGCCTGGGCTGTTGCTGCAAGAGAAAAGGCAAGGGCTGCTACAGTAAGCAAAGAAATTTAGAAGAAAGTATGGAGACAGTAGTGCAAAACATGAAAAGATGGGAAAAGTAGAAAAGTAGGAAAGAAGAAAAATAAAAGGAAATCATTAGTACATGCATTGATCACACAGTGCCAAAGCACACCATTCAAAAGCAACAGCTTTCCATTTCCCAGTGTGATTAAAATGAACATGCAAAATAAAAGCCAATTTAAAATGGCAGAATATATTTCTAAAACAGGTAACACACAGCACAAAAGCTCAATGTAGATCACATATTTTTCATTACCTATGCCTTCAAGACTGCATGAGACTGAGAGGCATGCAGGAAACAAAGAAAATACTGTTGTAATTGCATATGGAATATTAAAAATAGTGAGATTTCAGAATCCACAGAAATTCAGTGAAGCTTAGATATACAATGTAACATATTTCAATTGCAACTTAACCAGTAAACATTCTATTAAGTGAGCAAGTACAATATCAACATTTATCACAGCACAAATGGTGACAAGAATACAGAAAACGTTTGCTACAGTTTTCCCCATCTAATATAATTGGAAAACAATTCTGTAACTTTTTTCTTTTTAGAGACAGGTTGGTAATATAAAAAACTAAAATATAATAAACTGTAAGTAAAGATGAGCATTTATGTTAATATATGTTATAACACTATTTAAAAAATATTTAAATTGCCATGAGTTCCTAGGTTTAAGCCTACTTTTAATAGTTCATCAAAACAGAGTGAAATATTGCTAAGAATATATTTTACAATATATTTAAATTACCAACTTAAAAAGCAATTGGGGTATGTTCAGGCAGCACTATTTAATTTTTGAAATTTAAGATGAAGCTGAACCACTAAAACTATTGACTGATCAATAGTGAATAGATAATGAATCAATTCTGAAGGCAAAGAAAAGCAAAATTCTGAGCTGTAATTTAACAAAAGCAAATAAATAGCAGGCTGGGCATGTTATGGATCATTTATTCCTGTCTTTCTATACAAAATCTTCTGACAGATCCCATTGTTAATTTTCTATTCCAGTGTGTTTTACTAATACCACTTGTAATGTTGTTGTTTTTTCCAAATACCATTCCTAGTAATTCACAAGAAGCATGTGCATAGAAGAGGGGGATGTATCTCTGTCTTAAAGCTCTTTGATTATATTTTTCTGACACAATTTAAAAGAACTGTAAATAACAATAGAAGTTGTGAGACACTGAAGTGTAGCCAATTCATCACAAAAAGGCAGGCTTCAGAGAATCATTCTTTCTCAGGACAACATAACTTGGTAACAAGGTTTCTAAGTTGCCAGTATTCTTTTTATAAGACTCATATGCTCATTAATTTGTAGATATTTTAAAATACTCAGGCATCTCCTAGCACAGTGGTTCTCAACCTGTGGGTCGCGACCCCTTTGGGGGTCGAACAACCCTTTCAGAGCGGTCGCCTAAGACCATCGGAAAACATATATTTTCAATGGCTTTAGGAATAATTTTATGGTTGGGGGTCACCACAACATGAAGAACTGTATTAAAGGGTTGCAGCATTAGGAAGGTTGAGAACCACTGTCCTAGCATGATGATGGAAATTAAATCCTAGGGCTGTTATACTAGAAAATGGTGATGCCTTATGATACATCTAGGAAATATTTCTATACCTAATAGCAAAATACTTTAAGGCATGACAAGATTACTTCTTGAACTTATGAGAGATCAAGCATTTGCTCTGGAGCATAACTTATCAAAGTGACCACTAAAAACATGTCAAAATCAGCATATGTGGGTCAACAAATTACTTTCAAAGCAAACGCTCTGGGGCCCAACAGGAAATACAAGTGATTGTCCGTGGTTAAGGCCAAAAACAAACTAATCTGTACATCCAAGTTTTAGAAATACTAATACAATGTTTTCTTAATGGGAATCTGGAGCATGAGAAGAATGTACTGGGATGTGCTTTGAATGTACTATATTACTGAAGTTGGAGACCATTAATATTATAGTTCAACTTAGACTATGAGAAAAGAACTAAAAATAAAATTCAGATAAACACTAAATATTAACAGTGATTCAGCTGTCCCCTAAGCAGCTAAAAAATCATACTATCCAAAACTTATTAAAAAAGAAAATTTATACTATACTACAAATTATTTTTTTATTTTATAAGAAAGAATAATCTTTCAAAGCTGTAAATCATTCTTTAACGAAAAAGTAAAAGACTCTGGAATCAGATGCTGAAACAGGTATCAGATTACACAGCCAAACTTTACGCAAATGCATACTATTGTAAACTGAATAATTTCAAGACCTAATGCAAGATCACTTTATACACTGCAGGTATAAATTCATATTAAAGCTCTGCAGCTGAAAGTCCATATAAGTTTACTCAATGAAGTAAGGAACATTTCAAATGAGAATTGCTTTTATAGTGTATTTATATTTTATTTCAATTTATGTTTGGATATGTTCTTTTAATGCCATAAGTCCAAGGGTGAAATGCTCCCAGTTCAGACCAGTTCGGCTGAACTGATAGTGATGGCAGCCGGTGGTTCAGAGAACCGGTAGCGATGGTGGTGTGAGGCTCCGCCCACCCATCCATCATTACTTCCTGGTTTTAACCAGGAAGTAACCTTTTTTTTTACCCTCTGCGCATGCACAGAAAGGTTTGCGCATGCGCAGAGGGTCCAAGCGCGCACGTGATGCGGCATGTGCACTTCCAAACTGGTTGGGAAGGTAAGTAGATTTCATCCCTGCATGAGTCCAAATGGAGTGGTAAGGCATAATAAAAAAGAATTATTTTGACTTTGTTTAGATTCATTGATAGTGATATTGGACACATGTATCCCTGGACTCGAGTTTTTAAAAGGAGTGTTTAATATTTGTTAACAGTGTAAAATATATGCTGAATTTCCCACACTGTCATTTGCATGGCAAGCTATGAGTAATGTTTAGTTAGGTTTTCTGCAAATTTATAACATATTGGCTTATCTAAACTGGTGGATGAATGAAATCCAATAGAGAATAACTTCCCAAAGCACCGCCAGAGTTCTGAATCAAATTCAGCCTTATTCTGCCATACAAGGGATCTGTAATTTTGCTACTACAAGTTCCTTACATGTGTATATTAGAAAATGAATCTATTATAGGAACAGTCTGGACCAAATGTTGTCATAGGCCCATCATATACCAGAAAACTTTGTATTTCTATCAGTTTTGTGATTCGTTGAACATAAACGAGCACTGATGTGAAGTATCATTTCCTATTATCTATTAGTGGTTAGATAAACCATTCTTATTCTCAAAATGCAATGATTTGCCTGTTAATGTTTCAACATGACTAAAATATAATCCAATCAGTAAGTGAAAAGCATTTAGTTTTCAAATATCCCTGAATACATGCATTTGTGAAAACATGCTGAATCAACTAAGAGTGTTTACAAAGTCATCATTACTATCATATGACTGATCTCAGTATTCACAGCAAAAGAAATGGGGAAAGTGAAAATACTACACAGAATGAACTATGGTCTGATCTCACCCTAACATATAAGAGAACTACTTTCCTGAAGGTGCCAAGTCTCCGCCCCCGTGGCTGAATTAAACAGAATTTATTTTATCTATGAAGATTCTCAGTCATCCAGGTCATGGTTGTCCTAAAGGTACTTTTTTTCAAGAGGCAACTGGACTTTCTGATTGTTCTTTGAAGACATTTTGCTTCTCATCCAAGAAGCTTCTTAAGTTCTCAAGAGGTGAAGAAAAACCAGAAAGTCCAGTTGCCTTTTGAAAAAAAAAAGCACCTTTGGGAGAGAATTTATTTTGTAAAAGTCACCACAGTGAAGGTTTAATTAAGAAAAAACAAGAGATGCCAGAAAATATATGCAATACCTTTCTTTCAACAGCAAGCTTTGCTCAATGTGTACTATATTAAGGAGTACAAAAATATGAACAGAGATATGCATGTTCTGGAAAGCAAGATAATACACATGGGGCAAATACAAAATGTACTCTGTGAGCACCAAGGATATTTGAAAAGGCTATAAAATATGTGAGTAACAAAAAGAACTAGAATACATTTTGTCAGATTCTATTTGCCATATAAAGAACTAAAATTCTTGTACACATATGAAAAGTTCTATAGTACTATAGGACTTACGTGATTTGATATTGGCGTCTCGGTAGGTACCATTCAGAATTGCAAGTTCCATTAACTGCATCTTTTTAAGGCTATCTTCTCCCTCTGCCTGCACAAATGAAATATATTATTAGCAAAGCAGTTTATAATCTCATAGCACAATTGCAAAGAACTTGATACAAGTTCTAAGTGATATATGAAATAGAAACACATTTACATAAAGGAAATTGATGCTGATGCTGCTCTAGTCACATAATGATTTCTTATATGCTTTTGTAATTTCAAAATCCTGCACCTTCCAATGCACCTATTAGATTTCAAGAATAGGTAAAAGCCACTGTAATTGTATTATACTGTGACAGTGCTATAAAAAAAGTAAGAGGCTGCTCTCTTCTCGACAGCAATTCCAATGTATAAAACAATGTATTAAATCCTTTCTTTCAAAGGTAAAGCAAACCTGGAAGAGGATAGAAAACTTTTTATTGAATCAGAGTTGTACAAAATATACTATGGAAGTAGCTTAAAGGGCTGAATCTGTCTTCCATTCAATTTGAAATGGAAGAGTAATGATTCTTAAGTCCCAAATGAAAACTCTCAAATGAATGGCTAACAATTTATTAGTTACTAATAACGAATAAACAAAAATTTAAGTATATATTCTTTTAAAAAGTATTTTATTGAAAAGTTTTAACAGCAATAATAAGAAATAATACAAACTAAAATAGAAGGAAAACAAAAAGAAAAGAAAAAGCAAAAAAGTGCAATAAGAAAAAAGAACATTTAAAAAAAAGGAAAAAGATGTAAAAAAGATATAAAGATGTGGCTTCTTATATTCTTCACAGCCATTATAAGTAAAGTTAATTTTACTCAAAAGTTACATTATGACCCTCCTCTTTCTATCATCCATCCAGTCTAATCATTAAAACCATAAATCACAAATTCATTTCTTTTCATTTTTATGCAAAAATCTATAAGGGATTTCCAATCACCAATAAATGTAGACATTATCCTTAGAACATTTAACTACATACTCTTAATTGCAGCATTTCACCAATTCCAAATTTTAAAATTTGTTTTATTTATATCTTGCCTATCATTTTTTAATGAAAAAAACACAAGTCGGTGAACATATCTAATATTCCTTCCTCATATTTTCCCAACAACAACCCTGTGAGATGATTTGGAGTGACTTGCCCGAGGTCCCCTAGTTGGCTTTCATTGCTAAGGCAGGACTAGAACTCATGATCTCCTGGTTTCTAGCCTGGTGCCTTAAACACTAGATGAAACTACTTAAGTCAAATTCTGTAAAAATACAACAGAAAGGAAGCACATCGTTTTAGTGAATCAGCTATTATTAGATTGGCAATTACAGAAAACTGGTACAATGACTGTAGCAGTTTTAAAGATGTATTCTCTAAAACAAACACAATACTGTATGCATATATGAACTGAGAGGGAGCCGATTTCAATAAAATCAGCAACAATGCTTATGCATGCTTTTCTTAAGCTTAAAATAAAACAACTTATGCAAGCATTTCATCTTTGAAATCACAATCAATCATAAATAGATACATCATAATCTGAAACAATGATCAGAAAAATATATTATTGAAATGATTCATCATTTGGTTTTTTAAAAAAATTAGTAATTACTAGAAATGCGTTTTGTGGGGTTTTAGATACTTATATTTACTAGGCACGTTTAATCCTTGTTATAGTTTCTGATACTGATATTTGATCTCTCCCTGCCCCCACCAATTCTTCTCATGTAAGAGAAATCTTAAAATGGCCTCTCATTAATGGCAAAATTTAAGCAGCAAGGAGTAAACGAGATGAAGGGAAAGAAATTGAAACTATAGTGGCACAATGGAGTTAATGTGATCTTCAAAAAGAGAACTGAGAAGTTTAAAGAACAAAAGACTAAGTATGAATTGGTGTATGGACATGATCAAAGCAAGGATGGTTTTCAAGGACAGAACAGCATAGAAAGTTGTAGCAAATAGGTTTAATATAAACTGGATTTAGTCAGTTTCTTTCCTTTTCTCTTATCTCCTCTCCTGTCTTCAATTCCTTTTTTTAGTCTTTTTTAAAAATATTGCATAATGAAAGGGATACTATAATGCATACGTATGTATATAGAGCCAGTTTGGTCTAGTGGTTAAGGCACCAGGCTAGATAGTGGGAGACTGTGAGTTCAAGTCCTACCTTAGCCATGAAAACCAGCTAGGTGATTTTGGGCCAATCACCATCATCCCTACCTCACAGGACTGTTGCTGGGGGGAAATAGAGGAAGGAGTGTTGTGTGACCCCACCGCCTTGAGTTTTGAAACAATTATCAAAAGTTCAGGGTACATCTCTGACAAAGTTAGCTCTACCTTTTCTTCAGCCCACTCTTTGGGAAGAAAAAGTATTTGGAAAAGGAAAAGATCAAAGAGAAAGTGCCTGTTCCCATTTATTTTTAATGTTGACCCCCCCCCCCATTTGTTTCATGTTGCCTATCTCAGGGCCCCCAAGAGATTATTCTCGAGGAACAAAGTCCTTTGCAGAAATGTTTCCCCATTCCTGATTTTGAGAAGGAAAACTAGTTAGATACATTTGATTGCAAAATATAAAACATCCTTTCAAATTATTATTTCTAAGCTTCTTAAAGGATTTCTTCTAAAAACAGTAGATGTACACAACATGCTCCATCTTCCTACACATCTTATTTTAAACTTGAAATGTATTAAGCTACTGTATATAAAAAGTTAATGTTTACTCAAATATTGTAGTTACATAGAGAGTTTGCTCCATTTCTCAAAGTGTCTGTTGTTGTTATGGGAAGAGTAAAAATCTGGTTTTAAAATCTAAAATGTTTTCTACTCTACTATTAATGAAGTGTCACTAAAAAATATAGATAAGTTTTATCTGATCATTTATTCCAAGCATAGGAAATTTGGAATAGAGTTTCATGACCCAAGTAATATGTAAATATAAATAAATCCCTTCTCATCCCTATGGGTGGTATGTATCTTCCTCAATCTCGGGGCCTCTACCAGAGGCCTGGGAAATTGAAGGTTCTGGGCAGGATCTTAGCTATTCCTAGCACTGCATTCTTCTTGGGTAGATGTTGTTCCTGGGATCTGGGATCTGTTGGAGCCACTCTCCCACAGACAAAGTACTCTACCACCACTGGGACCACTGTATTTTCCACATCCTCTCCAGTTCCTCCTTCAGGACGTGGTACTTCACCAGCATCTCAAACCTCTTCTTCCTGATGTTGCTTCATTTGGCACTGCTGCATCTATCACCCATGCTATCTTCTGGTCCTTGTCTACTATCAGTGTTGACTGGCCAGGAAACGCCTTTTTCCAGAAAGGTGCCTCGAGACTCCAGGCATGGGATGGATGGATGGATTGGGGGGGGGGAGAGAGAGAGAGAGAGAGAGAGAGAGAGGAGGGAGGGAGAGAGGGGGGGGGATATGGTGCATGCCTAACAGGTTGTCCAGGCAATATATAAGCTAACATGATGAATATGTATTTTATGACTTTAAGAAGTACTGCTGAGTCATTGTAATGCTGAGTCATTGTATCCTGATTGGATAAGCTCTGTAGTAACTGTATTTAAGGAGGGCTTGAATGTAGTCATTGTGGTCATGCCACCATCGTAACCTGTTATCAGCGTGAACTTGCTACTATTTATTACCTACTGCTGTTTTGTAATTTCTACTTGATCTCTAACATGGTCTAATGTGATCATGGTTTATTTATTCTGTTTTTAAGAACTATTTATATTGTTCCTGTTTGATCCTTTTACTACAAACTGGTAAGAAGAATCTTGTATCTCTGGACTGATTATGACTGGCTAAGACTTAGATTGATTAAAGACTATGAGATTGTTTTTCACTACAAAGTAAAAACTTTGATAAACCAGTTTATATGTATTTTATTCATTGTTGCTTTCAGCACCGTTTTCATGTGCTCTATGCTCTGCTGGTTGTTAACACAACAATATCCTTAACAACCACTACACAGACAGTACCTGCGATTCTGTTACAACGGCAGACACATGCACTACAGGGCTCTACTGTTTGGACTGGCATCAGCACCCAAAGTGTTCACCAAACTCTTGGCAGTGCTAGGGGCTTTTCTCAGGACACTACCAGTCTGGATACAATGTTATCTGGATGATGTACTAATACAATCAGTCTCTCACAGACAGGCAGAGGAAGACCTCTGGGTCACAACTCAGCTTCTGCAGAGACACGACTTCTCTATAAATGTGGAGAAGAGCCACCTCAGATCAGCTTCTTGCCTATTACATCTAGGGGCAATAATAGGTTTTTCTTTTGCCAGACCGGCTGGAGAGCATCAAGACATTGACATGACAGATCAGATCCAAGCTCCTAGGCAAGATGATATCTTGTATAGGAATAGTTCCTTGGGCAAGGTTCCATGCCAAACCACTACAGTGGTTTCTGCTCCAGAGGGCGGGCAGGAGTACCTCGCCTGTTGGAGTTCTGGTCCCAAGAAAGGTTCTGCAATCCCTCCATATGAACAGGGGTTGTGTGTTCAGAGACCAGAAGTGGCTGACTATCACCACAGATGCCAGTCTGGGGGGCTGGGAAGCCCATTTCCAGAACCTGGTTGCCCAAGAGAGGTGGTCACAGAGGGACTTACCCCAAAATATCAATTGGCTGGAGCTAAAGGCAGCTCACCTGGTCCTGAGGGAATTCAAGGAGCAGATTGCAGGCCAGCATATCCTCCTCCTCACCAACAATGTGGCCACCAAGGCACACATAAACAAACAAGGGGGCACGTACTCCAAAGCGCTCATGGAGGAGGCAGAGCGGCTATGTCGTTGGGTGGAGAAGAATGTGCTTTCCATAAAGGCCGAGCACATTTCGGGGTCGAGAAATATACGGGCATACTGGCTGAGCAGGGCCACATCGACCATGCGGAGTGGCGCCTGCACCCGGACTTTTTCCAGGAGATATCGGTTTGGCTCTCCAATAGTGGATCTTTTTGCTTCACTGGCAAACAGTTAGCTGCCCCGCTTCTTCTCGAGGTTTACAGCTCTGGGGCAGAGGGAATCAATGCCCTTCGTTGCCCATGGCCTCAGGGTCTTCTT